TAAAACATGACGAAGTTGTACACACACGCCCCCGCCCCCCCCCTCCCTCCACGCCACTGTAGCACACACATCCTCTACAAATGGAAAACATCATCTCCTTCCGTAAACAAAATTGTACCCCCACTCGAGCTTTAGTGCCCTCACATCCCGCGACCTGCTGTTATTTGGTTCAGCCCGGCTCACGAAGAAATCGAGAAGAACATACCGAAGTTGTACATACATGCACTCCCCACGCTACGTTTTCATACTCCCCCTTTGGAACGAGTGGAAAACGTCCTTCTCCTCCGTAAACTAAACTGTGCTCCCACCCGGCCATCGATACGCCCTCACATCCCGCGACCTGCTGTTATTTGGTTCAGCCCGGCTCACGAAGAGGTGGGAATAAAACATGCCCCAAGTTCTGCACAACACGCCTCCCACAACCCCCGCCCTCCACGCTACTTTACACACATCCTCCTGGAGCGAGTGGTAAAACATCGTTCTCCTCCGCAAACGAAACTGTGCTTGCACTTGGGCATCGGTACTCCCTCACATACATACCGCGACCTGCTGTTATTTGGTTCAGCCCGGCTCACGAAGAATAGAGACAAAACATGACGAAGTTGTACAAACACCCCCGCCCTCACGCCACTGTACCACACATTCTCCTGGAATATGGTAAAACATCCATCACCTCCGTAAATAAAGTTGTTCCCCCACTCGGGCATTGGTCCCCTCACATGCCGCGACCTGCTGTTATTTGGTTCAGCCCGGCTCACGAAGAAGTGGGGGTAAAACATGAACGAAGTTGTACACACGCGCCCGCGCCCACCCCTCCCGCCGTCCACGCCACTGTAGCACACACACCCTCCTGTCACGAGTGGTAAACATCCATCTCCCTCCATAAACAAAACTGCTCCCACTTGGGCATCGGTACGCCCTAACATCCCGTGACCTGGTGTTATTTGGTTCGACCCGGCTCACGAAGAAGTGGAGAAACATGCCGTGGTAGTTCACACACGCCCCCACTTCCACGCTACTGTAGCACGTATCCTCCAGGGGAAAGGGGAAAACATCCATCTCCCTCTGTAAAAAAACTGTACTCTCACTCGGGCTTCGGTACTCCCTCACATCCCGCGACCTGCTGTTACTTGGTTCAGCCCGGTTCACCAGGAAGAAGTGGACAGAACAGGGAGATACAAAAGGCGCCGAACTTGTTCCTACTCCCGACACACACGCCTGTTTCTGCCGGTCGTTGATGGAGACAAGAAGTGAATGCTTGATGCCCCCGTCTGAATGCCGAGATTGGAAATGGTTGAAGCAATCCACCGTCGTCGTTGCCACCGATCGGGAGCAAGATCGGCTCATCTCCTTGTGTTTGCCCCCCCGTCGGAGAGGGCAGCAGCAGGCGTCGCCGGTACCTCCACCCCTGCGGTTGTGTTTGGTTCGAAGTCGGTCACGAAGCATGTCAGGGAGGATTAGGGAGTGTAAGTGGGTGTATTGCTGTCGGATGGCGGCGCTGAGCGTAGCCTGACAACTGTAATCGGATTGTTATTGTGCTTTCATGTGGCATGCGCGTCGTTCTCTGATTAGAATCCACAATTACTTCGTTCCTCGAGAAGAAAAGATGCATTGTGTTCACGGTGAAGCGTGTACAGAATCCCGACAATGTAGGTCTCGTTTGCTCAGGAAACGTACACCTTCCTCCCACATTGACCCTAACTATGGTACCGAGCCCGTGTGCAACTGCCTCAATGTCTGGAGATGTAAATAGGGCATGAATCGCACAGTAAGAGCAGCTGTGAACGAGCAATCAAGACCGACACACTAAAAACGGCTGTCGCTTTGGGTTAACTCCAGTCCAGGCAGACGTTTGGGAATAGCCATTGCCGTGATGTCCATGCCGGTGGACGGGGGGGGTCGCCAACAACCCAGAGAAAATCTCTGACGAAGTGCGTTGGAAATCTCAGTCGGGAAAGTCGTCGACGGGTGGGCTGAGATGGATGACGTTCAATATCTGTATTATGTGAGGCTGCACGCGTGACAACAGAGGGTCCTTGCCAGCATATTTGAGCAAGTGTTTCCCGAGGCAAAGGGCGGACATCAGCTTTCCGCCTCCTGAAATCTTCGAAACAGAATGAAATCCGGCACCCCGCGGCAACCAATCACCCCGCCGGGACTTTTCAGTAGAGGCAGAAGTACAATCGATATTTATTGAAGTCCCCCCTAGGCCGGGAAGGTTTGGACATTTTTTTTTTCACAGGAGAGAATGAACACACCTTCCACATGAACAACCAATTATCGGTCCTCACCTCTAGGCCTGGACTCGGTTGCTCGATGTGCACCGCCCTGCCGTCTCGTCCGGGAGGCCCTCTCTTCGGCCAAGGCCCCGGGCCTCCGCTGGCCGGCGAAGACCCCTGCGGTCGTCCTCGCCTCGTCTGAGAACCGTAGCAGCGCGTCGGTTTCCGCGCGACGCTGCTCGTTGGCGGCGTTCCTCCACTCCTCTAGGCCGTCCCTCCAATCTTCCAACCTGGACACCCTTCGCGCCAGCGCCTCCGACGCTCTGCTGCTCGCCGCCGACTCGTAGCCCCATCCCTCCTCGTCTTTTGAGCGTTGCAGCCGCAGCCACTCTCCCCCCGCCTCGATGATGGGCTGCAGCCTCTCCATCCTCACGTCGATCTCGCGCAGGTCTGCCATCGCGGCCCGCCAGTGGCAGCCGTTAGCGCTCTCCCTCTCCGCCTCGCCCTCGACGGTACCTTCAAGCCGCGCGTCGTCCTCCCAGCGGGCCCGCTCGTGCGGCGAAGCGTATCCGTCGGCGACCTCGTGCTCGAAGTGCGAGTTCTCGGCAGACAGGTGGAGTCGCCGAGCTCGGACCTCCTCGCCCACCCCCTCTTCCTTGCTCTCCTCGTTGCCCGTCACGGCGAGCGCACAGAGGCGGGCGTTGCCGATTCCTAGCTCTACTGTCCTCACTTCCGCTCCCGCTACCCGCCCGACCGCCGCGACCTCGATCCCTTGCGATCGGGCTCGAGAACGAGGTGTCTCGTTCGTTGTTACCTCGGGAGCCCAGTCAGCGACGCGCCGGAGTTCTGCGCTCGCCTCCGCGTACCTCGCGATAGAGAGGTCTACGCTCGCCACTCTCTCGAGCGCCCTGCTGATGAGCTCGTCGTCATTGTCGTCCATGACCTCGTTCGTTGTCTCTGCTCCCGCAGCGGAGAAGCCTGCGCTCGTAGCAAGCGACGCGGCTCTCGATTCGGCGACAGTGGCATCAGTCATCCCCCTAAGGTCTTGGCTGAGTGCCTCAGCCCCTTCCTGAAGCATCGTGGCGTGCTCGCTTGCTTCTCCTGCCGCCGTCACTGCTGTCGCCCGCCGCTGCAGAGCGTGGAGCCTCTCGTTGAGGTCCGCCACACGTTCCTCCGCAGCCGTAGATCGAGCTTCCGCAGCGGCAGCGCGGTCAGTCATCCCCGCAAGGTCCTGGCCGAGGAGCTCCATTCGGTCCTGAAGCATCGAGGCGTGCTCGCCCGCTTCTCCTGCCGACTTTGTCGCCTGCCGCTGCAGAACGGCGATTCTCTCGTTGAGGTCCGTTACTCGAGCCTCCGCAGCCGTAGACCGGACGTCCGCAGCGGCAGCGCGGTCAGTCATCCCTGCAAGGTCCTCACGGAGTGCCTCAATTCGGTCCTTGAGCATCATGGTGCGCTCACCTCCTTCTCCTGCCGCCACTGTTGCCTGCTGCTGCAGAATGGCGATTCTCTCGTTGAGGTCCGCCACTCGAGCTTCCGCAGTCGTAGACCGGACGTCCGCAGCGGCAGCGCGGTCAGTCGTCCCTGCAAGGCCCTCGCGAAGTGCCTCAATTCGGTCCTGGAGCATCGTGGCGTGCTGACTTGCTGCTCCTGCCATCACTGCTGTCTGCCGCTGCAGAACGGCAATTCTCTCGTTGACGTCCGTCACACGCGCCTCTGCAGTCGTAGACCGGACGTCCGCAGCGGCAGCGCGGTCGGTCATCCCCGCAAGGTCCTCGCCGAGTAACCCCACTCGTTCCTGGAGCATCGAGGTATGTTCACTTGCTGCTCCTGCCGCGACTGTTGCCTGCCGCTGCAGAACGGCGATTCTCTCGTTGAGGTCCGTCACACGCGCCTCCGCAGCCGTAGATCGAGCGTGCGCAGCGGCAGCACGGTCGGTCACCCCTGAAAGGTCCTCGCCGAGTAACCCAATTCGCTCCTGGAGCATCGTGGCGCGCTCACTTGCTTCTCCGCCCGCGACTGTTGCCTGCCGCTGCAGAACGGCGATTCTCTCGTTGAGGTCCGTCACACGCGCCTCCGCAGCCGCAGATCGGTCGTCCGCCGCGGCAGCGTGGTCAGCTATGTCCTCGAGGTCCTCGCCGAGTGCCTCAATTCGTTCCTGCAGCATCAGGGCGTGCTCGCTAGCTGCTCCTGCCGCCGTCGTTTCTTGCTCGTGCATATCGGCGAGCCTCTCGTTGAGATCTGTCACACGTACCTCCGCAGCCGCAACTCGGGCGCCCGCTGCCGCTTGATATTCGGCATACTTCATCTCTCCTTGCTGTACACTCGCTACTGCATCCTCTGCAATTTGTTTTACTTCGGCCGTCTGTTGGCAAGACCGGAGCAGCTCCTGTTGGAGACTTTGTTCCTTGTTGTGCGCCGTCAGACGTGTCTCGGCGAGATCTGCCGCGCTTTCGAACTCAGCGGCGGCAAGCTTTCGTCGCAGGTCCTCTGCCTCCTTGACCGCTTCTGCCTTCAGCTCGCTTTGCTTCCCGAGCATGACCAACGCGTAGTTCCGAGACTTTGAACATGATCCCAGCTGCATTATTTTTCATTTATTCGAGAGGGAGGTAGAGGAGAGTATGGAGGCACTCGACTAACGGTGTTGTAATCTGGGTTTGTCTTAGCAGGGGTTGAAAGAGATAGGCGACCAACAGGACCCTACAATGTCACAGAACGCCGACACGAGAACATCTCAGAGAGCACCTAATGCTGAACGCAAGTAAAACAACACCTGGCGTTTTCCTGCGCAAGTCGATTCCGCAAAAAACCTATGACGCACCTCTTTGGTAAGCCGTAGGACTTCTCTCTCCATGTTCTCGTTCAATTCCGAAAGCTGTCGCTCCGCCTGTTCGCGTTCAGCGAGTTTGTCGACGGTGTGCGCGTGCAGAGCGTTGTATCTGTCATCGGCGCCTCGTGCCTCTTCCCTCGCCTTCTCTTGGACAGCCTCGGCTTCCCGGTTCGCCCTTTCTTCCGCGGCCGCGGACTCCCTCATCGTGCGTTCGCACAGAGACTCATATCTCAATTGGGCTCGCCCGACTTCCTCTGTCGCCTTTTGCTGCGCGGCTAACACTTCCCGCGTGGCGTGCTCGCGCAGAGACTCGAACTTCGTGTGAGCCAAGGCTGCCTCCTCCTCAACCTGCCGCATCGCGGCCTGGATCTTCTTGTTCTCTTCGTTGCCCCGTTTGTCCTCCTCCCCTCTTTTCCGCAGGGCGGTCTCCAGCTCCGTCTCCCTGAGGCTCACCTCGTGCAAGCTCTTGGCCAACTGTGTGTTCAGTTCCCTCTGCCGTTCGGCCGACCGCCTCAACATCTCCTCCGCAATCTTGAGAGCCTCGTCCTTTTCCCGCAGCTGTAGCTTCGTGTCCCGCGCCGCCTCGTCCGAGGCCGCGCCCTTCTCTCGCAGCAGCAGCTCGATCTGGCATTGTGCCTCTTGCAGAGCCCTGTCCTTTCGCCGCACCGCCAGCTCTATGTCCAGCAGGTGCACCTCTTCCTCGGAGACCGCGGTCTCCCCCCAGGCGGCGACCTCGGACAGAGAGATCGATTGGCCCGGCGGAGAAGACAGGGAAGACGGGCACGACGATGCTAGCGGGGGCGTCGAGGGTGATCGTGAAGGCCCGGCCGGCTCTTCCTTGTGCTGTACGCCGGTCGCGTCGTTCTTCCGTACCACCCCCATAGCAACTCCGCCGATGGCGTCCTCGGGTAGAGAGATCGCTTGGCCCGATGGAGAGGACAGGGGAGGCGGGGATGACGATGCAAGCGTGGTCGTTGGGGGTGAACGAGAAGGCCCCGCCGGCTCCTCCGTGTCTTGCACGCCGGTCGCGTCGTTCTTCCGTACGACCCCCGTAGTCACTACCTTGTTTGGAAGTTGCGATGAGGGTGGTGGCGACAGCGGGGGGTATCGAGTCGCCCCCGGCTTATCCGTCTCTTGCAAGCCGACCTCATCCTTCTGTTCTGCCATGGCGACCGGGGCCTCTGCCTGTCCCAAAGGGGGCGGCGGGAACGCCGGAGAAGGCCGGGGTGCTAGAGACAGCCTCACCGGTTCCTTTTCATGGAAATCCGTTGCGCCCATGTTCTCCGCCGTGTCGGCCAGAACCGGTGCCTGCTCTGGTTGGGGGGATGCGGATGACGTGGAAGACTCCGAATGCTCCGTCGCTCGCCCGGTAGCGGAGCCCACCACAGAACCGTTCGGGACGGGGCTCACCGAAGGGGACGGTGGGGTCGACGGGCTGGCCTCGGTTGCAGCGATGGAGATCACTTCTCCTGGGTTAGATGGTGCCGCGCCTTTTCCACACTCTGTTTCTTGGGGTCTGAGGAGAATGAGCATCATCCCAACGCGCAGAGAAGAGGCAGAATGTGGACAGAGGGCACGCGTGTTGGCGAATGCATCGTAGCGTTAGGGGTGCGGTAAGGTAAGCATAATTTCTGCATGACAAGCTAGACGATTTTGAGCACTGAACGGTACACGGTCCGGACCAAGATACCCAGAAGACGTGATGCTACACACCTAGCTGGAACGGTAGGCATGGCATGGTGAGTGGGGGGCAAGACTCGGTAGAACCGAAACGCATTCTTGGCTCCCAGTATCACCACGGGCCGGTACAAGAGACTCCCTGTTTTCGTCCTTCTCACACCAATGATCTGATGCCCGTCTGTGGGCAAGTGATCCCACCACCGCTGGGCTCACGTTCAAAGCTCGATTGCTCAGCAACCAAGAGGGTACGAAACACCGACCGATACGTGCAAGGAAATCTCCTTGACGAGATGCTTGACGAGATGTGTTTCCAACACCACCCTTTTCGGCGTTAGCAACCTCGTGGTTGTGGAGCCATCTAGCTGTGACAGTCGCTCTAGGGGGGATGCGATGATTCACACTTTACGGTGCGTGCATCCCCTACACGTGGGCGAGTCAGTTTGTAAAGAGCGGAACACCTCTTGACTTTCATCTAAAAAACATGCGTTTTGGTTTCCCTGGTGGAACAAGTGAGTGTAGAGGCGTGTTCGAGGTGTGTTCATCTTGTTATCGGTTTTGAAGGGTACACCCGGTTTGTCCCACAGCTAGGAAGGGCCCAACACAAACGGCATCCGCGAGAAGACAGACAACGACCCCACCATTCCCTTCGCTTGTCCGTGAGAAAAAAGGTGCTTCTGATGGCTTGTGGTGTTTCTCCATATTTGGCGTAGCTCTGGGCTCGGCAATCAGCCTTTGGAACGCACGATTTGTATGCATGCTTCCGGTTATACTCATAGGTTTCCTGCCTTGTTGCTCGAGACTCGACGCCACACAGTGTCAAACGGCAAACGCCGTGGCGGTAAAAAAAAAACTGAGGTTGTACTACATCGCACACTGACATAATAATGAGACCGCGGACCAGGATAGAAAAAAACAGCGCCTGCCGGACTCTTTGCATTGCCACTTACCGTCTGTCGGTAAGGCCCGCCTGGGGTTCGTTGTACTTCTCCTCTCGTAGGTAACCTTCCTCTTTCGTCTCTTCCTCCTCCGGTTCCTCCTCGCTCTGCACATGAACGACACCAACAACATAGGCACGCGCGTAAGGTGGCGGCGATTAGAAGGACAGTGGAGTGCTGCACGGGGTAGGACGACCAAATGTTATTTGAAGGATTTAGTTGTGTTCTAGTTTCCGGCGTGTTCGTGCTAAGCCTTGCTGTCTCTTCTGGATGGCTTGTCGACGGGACGCTCGGGCTGCAAACTACTACTGAATGAGTTATCGTGAGACTCTTGATACGATGCCGTGAAGTCACTACCGAAACATTTCAAGATGCCCACCTCCGACAACGTGCCGAAGACGAGGCTGCGATCCGCGAGGGTCAGCCCATTGCAGGTGCCATCGCTCCCTTCCGCGATCACCAGGGTGCTGGGCAACGGCGTCCCCACACTGGTGACGCCGAATCGATCGGTATCGCTGCCGTCCCCTCCCTCGCCGACAATCGTGTCATCCTTCGGGCCATTGGCTACGACCACAACGCAACCGGTGGTGCGGGCGCGGTCGAGAGTTGCAACCGACAAGAGGGCCGAAGCTCCTGCGGTCGATGTCGACGGGGTGTCTTGGATTCCGCTGTCGCCGACACAATCGGTGGTGCGGACGCGGTCGAGAGCTGCACCCGATACGAGGGTCGAAACTCCCGCGGTCGATGTCGATGGGGTGTCTTGGATTCCGCTGTCGCTGTCGTTGGCGACGCTGCCGCCGCCACCCATCTTCCAAGCCGCCGAGGGGGACGTCGGGCGAGCGATGTTGTACACCGATTGTGGCGCCATCTTGCAGCTTTCGGCACCGTTGCCAATCGTGGGCGCTGACGAGCTTGCCGCCGAAGAAGACACCATACGGGGGGCAGCGGTGGCTCCACCGCAGATGTTCCTTGTTCCCGAGCGGCTGATGCTGTGGAATTGCGCCGTACCGGCGGTTGCCGGGTGCTTTCCGCTCCTGTCGCTGCGGTTGGTGTTGATTTTAGGAGGAAGAAATCGGGACATGCGAGCCAGGCTGGCCGCCGACTGCAGTACCGCGCCGCTGCGGTGACCCCTCCCGTCCCCGCCACCTGCTACCTCGAAGGATACCTTCGTCACTCTAGCTGTGGGAACGTTCCCGTCCCTGCGTCCGGCGAACCCGCCGCCCGGGCTCTCTTTGCCCGCCGACTTCGAAGAGCTGTCCCTAGTCACAAGCGCGCTCCTACGCACGCCACTGGCGGTGGTGCTGGTGACGCTGGTTCGACTCGTTGCGGCCGTTGTCGGGGGTTGACACGCCCAGCGTTCCCTTCTGCGGGTGGTGTGCATCGTCGCGTGGAAGCCGTCGCTGTCTCCACCGCTGCCGCTTGCCACGCTGCCGACGCGTCTGTTGTTGCGGCTGCTGCCCCGTGCCACCAACGCTCCACCGTGCGAGGACCCGACTGTGGACCAGTTGGACCTGCTGGACGGCTGCTGCTGCGCGGACGTGTCGGTACCCGCCCCCGTGGCACCCGCCCCGGCCCGCGCCTCCGGTCGCGCCGCCATCGTCGCCACGCGTCGGAACGGTCGGCGGCGGGGAGAAGAGGTTGCTGGGGCGCCGTTGTTGGCCGTCGGTCCTCGACCGCCGACGGTACCCTCTGCGATGGTTCGGCCGGCGCGCGTGAGGCTGAAGTCGCTGCTCGAACTGTCGTCGCTACCCTTGTCGTTGTCCGTCGAGGATGAGACGGGGCCGAGCGAGGGGCGCGGGCTGGGAGCGGTACCGCCAGACGACGACGATTCCTCGCCGTTCTCGCCGCTGTCGCCGCTGTCACTGCTGACCTCGCTGTCGCCTTTGGCACCGCTGTCGCCACTAGCGCCGCTACTGTCCTCGGTGCTAATCGAATCGTCGTCCATCGAACCCTCCCACGAAGTGCCCCAGTTGCAGGGCGCGGAAGGCTTCTTGACGTAACCCGAGAACTCCACCTATGGGTAGCACAGACGTCAGTGGACAAGCAAAAGTCGCAGCCAGGTGAGATTTTTTTATGTTGTCCAGCACAGCCCACAGGTCGTAGCCGATGCTCGTGGCGCAATTGTTTTGACACATGTGTGAGAAACGCGTGGGGTTTTACTGCCAGCTTGTCCAAGATGTCTTTGTCTACTACGCACGGTAGAAACGTAACTGGCTTTGTAGGCGAATACAAGCTCGACCCAATTCGTGCCTGAGTTCAGCCCGCCAAACCCCGGTTTAGAAAAATATATATTTAGCTACCTACGGGCAGACATGCGCAAGACATCCATCTGAGCTCCACTCGTGCGACATCACACGAGTACCTATACTTGGACTTTGGCCCTTTTTCGTTAGTTTTAGATTCATTGATCACCTCGTGTCGTGCGATGGCCTGGCGACGGATGTCATGCAGAGAGTTGAAGTACTCCACGTCTCGCAGAGTACGCTTGTTGACGATGGCGATCTCGACCTTGCTCTTCTGTCTGATGACCGCCTGCATGTCGACCGAGCAAGTTTGCGTGAACGATTATACTTCCCCACCTTTAAAATATTTTTAAGTTATAGGCGCTGTTGGTAACACGTTGCCGGCCGTAAATCAAGTGTAGCCCTACACAGGTCGTGAAATTGCAAGTGCACCACGCCGTCTGCTCGGCGAAAATCTAAGAGGGTTCAAAGTATTTGTGCGACATGTGCGTTGCATACAGTCGTGTACCAGCGTTCTCCCTAACGAACGGCGCGTGCTGGCCATCGTGTGGCGAGACACGTACCACCCCTTCGTCTCACGCAAAATCAAAGTTGACCTGGCGTCTGCCCACAAGTTGGCGTTTTCATATACGACACGCAGCTATGTCCGGGAAAACGGACGTACGATCCGTGTAGAATTTGCTTGCTTGAAATCTCGAGTTTTCAGCGAAAACCAAGAAGGCGAAACGACGAAACAAGCCGAAACGAAACGCGTAGCGACTGGCACCGTCGACGCACGGGGTTTTCTACGATTGCGAATCCTTTTTTCGCGAGCGGTGGGACGTTTCTGCGTGTCGAGGTTTTTCTGTACCTTGGCTCGGTATACGCCTGAAACCACGCACACTAATGTCTTTGCCTTGACAAGCGCACAACGTGAGGCACTGGAAGAGGTCAGAGGGGTTTCACTATCGTCATCATCAACAACAACTAAAACAGCAACAACGAAAGGCAGGGTTTATTGCAGGCTCAAGACACGATGGCATCTGGCAGGGGGTAGCTGCCTCTTCATTTGTCGGAAGGCCTTATACCACGGGGTTTAATAAGCAGACGATGAGGAATCTCGACTGCAGGCTTGTAGCTGTAGTCGGGATGGTTTTATGACGAATCAAGATATTTCTGTTGCTCCACCGTGAATGCAGTGAGGACTATGTTGAGCCGGGATAAGGGTCGTCGGGCAACGGCCTGCGAAATGCAGCCAGATCTCTCTGATAACACTCAAGTGGAAGAGCGGGCTTGTTGAATGAGGTTGGGCCAGGCGTCGAGTTGGAATGAGCATCAAACTCCATGTGCATCAAGAATAATCTAAGAAGAAACATTAACATCAACCCCTTTGCAGTGTTGTAATGCCTCGAGTACGTTAAAAGCTCAAAGACGCCCCCCCTTCTATAGGGTGACCAAAGGCGCACGATATAGCTATTAGCGTTTGAGGTGCCAACCGCGTGGGTGCAGGCGCCTGTACAGCACATTCGTAGTGCACAACTTGAACACCGACAACCAATCGACAAGGGGAAAACTCAACCCCCCCACATCGTTCAAGTTCGATATTGTAGCGGAAAGTAGGTCATGCAATAATAACGATGGCAGGACGGGTGGGTGGCGGTCACGTTAGCCTCGAATTTTTTTGTAAGACTTTGACAACGACCAATTGGTGCACCTCAAACAGTTTCACTTTCTGCACAGCCGGCCGGCCGGTTGAGGCGGGTAGACTACCACACATACCACAAGATGTGCCCGCTCGGATGAGGTGGCGGGGAGGGTGACGAGAGAGTGGCGCCAGTCCCCTCGCTGGAAGCTCTTGAAGAACTCGTCCTTTGTGACGGGGACCAGGAGTTCCTCTTTGTCTAGACCCCAGCGCCACGCTTGCTGCGCGTACATGTTTTGTGGAGCAGAAGTCAACAATGGCTTTGGTTAGCTTTTTTCTGCGTCAAGCAACACATGCATGGTGAAATGATTGTGAACGAAAACAAGTTGTCAGTGTCTGATGCATAACCCCGAATCAACCCCACAACAACGAGTCCCTACGGCAGGCACCCTTTATCATGTGCTTTCGGAAACTCAGATGCCGCAGTGTAAAAGATACGGCACAGTGTTATAATATGCTCTTCTCGCTTCTCGCTACAGTAGTGTGTGTCACACACAAACCTGCAGGTCGTTGGGGTGCAAGCACAACGTCACCACGCCTCCCCGGAACACGTATAAGCACACCGCCGGGTTCGATTTCTTCCTCGTCTGTTTCTTTTGCTTAGCCTCCCTGTAGCGACCGGCGATGAAGTCCTTCATGAAGATCTGCTGGTGAGTGAAGCTACCCCATAGGCTCCTCTCCATTGCCTCGGTACTGATGTGCGAACGCATGGCTGGGCCCTACATAGATCGGACACGGTCGGTGACAGGCGGGGGGAGAATGATACTAGAGTTGTCAGCGCTGATGTGTGTAGAGAAGGAATCGTCCTCGGGACGTTGGGGAAAGGTGACCAGTAAGGCCATGTCCACGTTGTTACCCTCCCCCTTTTACGATGAATGTTGTCTTGGTTTGCAAGAGACGAAGGAGACTTCTAGGGGTCCCCCTCCCGCCCCACCGGAACCGGATGGCTGCGGCGAGTTGATCCACTTCATTCTTCGAAACCTCCCTGTTCGCTATGACACGGGCGGGTGTCCTACGTTCTCCCGTGTCCTCAGAAGGTCCACACTTTCGAAAGAGTCTTCGTTTTTGGCCCACCACCGATCGATCATTGTGAATTGTGAAATGAATGGCGCGTGGCGGGATTCGAACCCCCTGGGTCTTTTCGTCACCAAAACTTGTAGAAAAAAAGCGTTGACGCCACAACGTGAAGAGATCATGCAAGTACAGTAATACCAATGGCAGAACATTTTGGTTCTAAACTAGTAGCAACTTTGGCTTCGCGTGGACTTTCTCCGAGGCTCTTCATTTCAATTTGTTTTGAACCAGCTTTGATCCACTGGAAATCTTGTCGTGTAGATAGACTGCTGTGGCTTTATGCCGTGAAGAACAGGGAAGATGAGGTTCCAACAGCAGCAGCAGCCGTGGATTTCATACTACGGGATCCTCTTTGACGCTTTGTTAGATATTGTGCAACAACATCATCTGATCTACTTGCTCCATGATTGACGCGTATCGCGCTGCATAACTACTGCTAGAGAGATCATCGTACGCAGGAGCAGGGCGAAGGGCGATTGTGGGTCCAAGCTAGTTGTTTGGGCAAAAGTCTTGGAAGAAAACCGTTTTTTCTCGCCGTACAACGCGCCGCGATCTTGCTATCGAAAAGGCGAGGGATGTTGCGGCTTTGGAGTTCACGATGGGCGCTGTACTCGAGGCTCAGAATCGTAGACAGGGGAATTGAGCAGCGACCCGTTTCGCTGGGCTTGCGTGGCATTCCGCACCATACAAGTCTACAGCAGTAGATCTCATGTGCAGTATAGGCATTGAAAAAAATTAACGGTTTTCACCGGCTGCAGCATACAACAAGGACTTTGGGTTGTTGGTTTTGTGTCGCAAACACACCGCATTTGCCCCGCCTCTCTTTGGCTCTCGTCTAGCCTTTCTCCCCCCCTCGGCAGTTGTGGCAGCACTACGAACGCGGGACTCTTGATTGGTTGCCATCGTCATCATTGTTTTGTTCAACCAAGTTAGATTTTTGGCCACCGGCCGTGGCCTATACGATTAAGGACACAGGATCCTGTGTTCACCGTACGGCATTACACCTCCGAACAGACACGTGGACTTTTCCCCGCTACACCAAGGGATGCTGCATTCGACTGGTGGTGCAATTCAACAAGGGACAACACAAATGTTTCCCTCGATAGGGATATAGCAACAGAGTGAGATGCCGCCCGAGTTCCGGGTCCCAAGTTGTTACTGCCGCATGCCCACTACACCGAGCAACCGCCCAAGCTGATTCTCCCTCTCCCTCTCACCCCAAGTTCCTCGATGCCCGGCTCTTTCCGCTTCACCCTCTCGCCGGAGCTCTCGCCCCGGCCAACCGGTTTCATCTTCGCCTGCTGTACCTTCCGATGCCTTCTCTGCTGATGCCGATCAACCTGCCGAGCGATGCCTCCTCCTGGAAGGAATGTGTGTGTCGCTCTGCTCTGCCGGGCACGGGGCAGAAAGATCCCTCACAGGGGGCGCCGCGCCCTCCCCCCCCCCCCAGCGCTTTTGGGGGGCATGCGGGATAACTCTGGTCAGTAGCTCTGGTGGATACATGACGGGAATGAGATTAACATTTTGAAGCGCTCCACCCGTGAGGCGCTTGAGGCCAAAAGGAGAGCACATAATCAACGTCACACATAGCAGCATCGCGTACATACGTCCGCGCGACTCTGGCTGCTGTCTTTGCCCGCCGGAGGAGGGAGGGAGGTCCCAAAAACATGACACGAGCATAATAAATACATTTTTACCAATGTTTTTTGTTTGGTACTCCTGTAGTCTACAATAGTAGACCACCGCGGAGAGGGTTACTTCAAAATATGTTATTTGTCACTTGAGGCGATGAACCAGCAGTGAGTAGCCCAAGTACACGCGTAACATACGCACAGAGAGTAACTCTTGTGCGGGGCACTCTAGTTCCTGGTCATGGGCACCAGCATGAGACAGACGCAAGGAGTTAGACAAATTGATCGAAGCGTACAACCCTACAAGTAGTGGTAAACGGGGTCCCACCGGTCGGGCGTGGGGTACCGATGACACCGTTTGTTATCACACACTCATGAGCGGCACTTAAAAAAAGTTATCCACAAAGCGGTCGCTCCTAGCCCGTGTTTGCGCATGCATTCATGCTACAGCGGCTGTGAAGAGAGGCACGACTTGACAGCAGTGACATTGCGTGCTTAGATATGTAGGCGAGGTGGGGCTCTTTGATCCCGTCACACCCACGACGTTTCGCTGCGCTCTTGACGCCTCTCAGCAGGGTCAAAGGCGTGAAGCACGCACTTCCTAGGATTTTCGGGGCGATCCTCCGCGACTACCCAGTTGGAAGGTGAGGTGGGCCTGACCAACTCAGTCTAACCCGTCTTCCAAACGCTCTCCAAGCTTTGTGCTGACCTCCCTCCTTCAACAACCAAAGCTCAAGACTGGTTGTTGGACCTCTTAACGATTTCGTTTGTAATCCAAACCGGAGTAACCACGTGGGACCAAGTAACGTAAAAAGTAGCAAGCCAGCTTACACAACCCGAGCCTGAGTTGCGAAGAAAAAAAAAACGAGAGAGCGGCAAGCCCCCCCTCCCCAACCTTGCTCCGCGACACAAGGGTAGCAAAAGGATTTCTGATCCCGCAGAGAGGCCCGGTATCGCATTGGGCAGGGACACCGGACATTCAACAACAGTCAACACACACCACAGGAGGCGCACCGCCAGAACAAAGCAATAACAAATTTCGTCGGAATTTGAATCGTCCGTCATGATCAGGAGCACAACAGCCTTGACGCATGAAACGCCGCGCCTCCTTTCGAGTAACCTAGCCCAACCCACCCCCCGTCCCCAGGTGTCTTGATAAAACTGGGCGACCTCGGTGGCGGTTAGACGCCAAGGCAGGCTCATTGTCATAAAAACATCTTCCTCAGCAGAAGGCGTTGCCCTTCAGCCAATCATCGAGGTCGATCACCTGTGACGCCGCCAGGACAAAGGCACAAGGACAAAAAAAAAAGTCAAGAAGGCAATAACCGTCGAAAGGCAACAAGGGTACAGGGAGAGACGGAGAGGGATCACGTGCACGTCAACGGGACAGCGGTTGGTCCCGACAAGAGCTAGCTTCAAAACAAACAACAACACCGCAGCAGCGTAGTAGTAGCAGCAGCAGAGGCAATGGCGCGAGCACCGTAGCGTTTGGCACGGCCCCGGTCACTGCTGCTGTCAAGCTCTACCGTTTTGTCAGATTGGTTGCGTTGCGGCGGTGCTTGCAATATGTGCGGTGGAGAAGCTCTCCGCCAGAATCACGTCCTCACCTTCCAAATATGCGGTTGCTCGATGGCCTGCTCCATCAGAAGGCAGCTCTCTAACCGGACGCGGTGTATGCGCCCGGAGCTTTCCTTCTTCCCCTGAATGATCTGTTGAAATACGAGACGGCCAGGGCGAGGGTTCGAAGAGGATTCGATTTAATCCCTTGCACCACCAAAAAACGAACACGAGAAACAAAAATGGCCAACAACCTCTCTCTTCCGTGTCAGTCTTGACACAAAAACGGTTTGGTCTATTGGTCCGACCCCTTCAATCTTTGATGAAGCGAAAACCAAAACAAAACAAAACAGATAGAAGGACAAGATTACGCACCTCTCCAGTTTCCTTATCCTTCACGTAAAACGTTTCGTCGCACGCCAGGTCCACGTCCACCTAGGGGAGGACAAAGGAAGTGGGAGAAAAGGGACAGCGCGTCGAGAGCACGCTGCACGCATACAAGTAACGAGCGAGCAGGGTCCTGTGTGGTGTGGAACACCAACCCTTTCCGGGCGGTTTCCACAAGCGTGATGAACGGCAGGTGCGAGTCTCGGGCGCAGATTCTTCCACCCGTTCTCTAGAGTGCCGACAAAAAAAAATCTCGACTGTAAGCAACAACGGCACATGCCGGCCGACTTTTGGGTACCGGCAGACAAATCTCTTCTCCGGGGGAGTGGGGGTCCCGTCGCGTGCAAAACCACCCACAAGCACCTGAAACGTGACGGTGACGTTCCCAGCAAGAGCGTTCCTGATCTGTGCGAATGCGTTATTCTCCTGCAGCACGAACTCCAAAGACGGCGACATGGCCACCGTGAACCTCCCCGATAGGTCGTCCCCTCGCTGCACGCCCTGAAACGCCCGCAAAAAGAAAGCGAAGAACCAAAAAACGAACAATCACAAAAAAAATCGCGTTACAACACGGGGACACAGAATAGATAGGGGAGCGACGAGAGGAACGTTGTTATCGAACAAGACAAACGTATTCCATGAACACAAGCTTTGAAACGAAAAATGATCCATGCATGTCGTCGAGAGCTCGCGAGGTTCGTTGCTCTCAGTCCTGGCACTCTCTGCTATAATAACATGAAGTACTTGAAGCACAAAAAATATTGTCGAGCACTCTAACCCTACCTTATATTGCCGAGGAATCAAGCTCGAAAACCCAGCCCACGAGGTGCTGCATACTAGAGGATAGGGAAAGGGACGCCAGAGATACTGTCTCGCTGCTGCCTAGAGAACAAAGCGTGCTTCTAGTGCCAAGGAAGGACGCAATCCCAGCTGCTGTTCCTACTGCTACTGCTGCGGTATTCTCGCTCACAAAGATGAACTTCTTCCTCCTGATGGCTTTGGCGACGACCCGATGCAAGCGGTAGTACGGCACCCCCCCCTTGTCGCTCGAGAGCGCGACGAGCCCTTTGTCGACGGCGGCCAGAACTCGGTCAGCCTCTTCCTCGCTCGTCTCTGCCGACTTCTCCTTGTCCTCCTCCTCCTGTTCCGCTGGCCGATCGTTGAGCCACGGAAGTACGTTGTTTTGGGGCGCGCAGGGGGTATGGGGCACTTCGTCATTGAGGCGAGAGAGAGGGAGGGGCTCAAAGAGCGTGAGTGGCGGAGGGGCGTGAAACTTCAGGCAGTTCTCCGGCGGGAAATTGTGTACCCACCCACACCTCTAGAAGCCTACGACCACGGCCGTAAAAACTACAGCTAAATCCACCAAACTTCAAGTGTACTGCTACTACGCTGGTGCGCGTGGGATCAGTGAGCCCCGGCTCGCGAAAAACAGACGCGCACAACCATTTACAGCTTCCGGTTTCGCGTGTTTGCTGCAATCACCTCCGGCTGATGCTGGGTCCTCCTCAACACCGCCCTTTGGCGCCCCGTCTACCCCTGCTGCTGCTGCTTCTACCGATGGCTTGGGCGCTCGCACTTTCAACGTGCGCATCTTGAACAACGCCGCAGCCGTCGTCACGAACGCCGCCTCCGCACCAGCCGTAAAGTCCACGCCCTTGAAGCAAAAATCCTCGAAAATCGACTCCATGATGCCGTCGAGGAACGAACCGCTGCCTGCCGGCTCGGGGATCAGATTTGGGGCGCCGCGCCAGGGGAAATCCCCCCCCGGCTTGGCCATGTCCACCGCAGCTGCTGCCTCTCCCGGCCCAGATGCGCTGCCGCTGAAGGCCCGGCCCTGCATCGCCGCTGGCGCTTGCGACAGCAGGGACGACGCTGGTGACATTCGTCCATGCTCTCGAAGCGAGCGCTTTCCCTGGAAAACAAAAAGCGCACAGCTAAGTATGTACATGTGTTAAGTTTCATAGTGAGTGGCCGTCCGTCATGCCCGCGTGTCAACGCCGTTTCTTGTGCTTATGTAAAGACCCCGCTTCCCTTCTCACACTGCTGTCAGGGTATGGGAGGTGGTCCACCTGGTCGGTGGTACACCCGACGACGAGTACTCCTCGGCCTCAACGCTGGGGTTGCGAGAGTGGTTTCACCTGTGGGCCAGTACGAATAATACGGTGCGCTTCGCGTCGCTACTTACCGTTTCAGCGATCGGCTCTGCGACCCTTGCCGGTGTCTGTTGATGGTGCTAACAACTCCAAACCCCGTGGGGCAATGCCCACGGGCTGCTGCGTAGGGCATCCACCGCAACCCTCGACGCAAAGGCGAGGCTCGGCACACTGTTAGTAAGACAAGGTGAATTGCTACCACGGGTGCAAACCATTGCGGTTCGCTCCGCCAGGCTGACACAAAAATTTGCTGTAAGGAGGGAAACCCAGACCAAAGTCGCCTTCGAGGGCTTCCCAAAGTGTATTGTTCAGCTATAGGTGGCAGCCTCACAGATATTGTGCGTAATCACCCCCCTAGACTCGGAGGATGGCATGCATGCTGCAGTACTGCTGTACAGCAGTAGTTTTCGTCACGATATGTACCGCGAACAGGCACCACAACTACTACTGTTGTACCGAAGGTGACGCAAAATACCACACCCCCAAGCCCGATTTTCAAAGCTCGATTACTCCACGACCAAGAGGATACGTAAATGAAACAATACTTGTCGGAAAGCTCTCGATGAGATGGCTTCAACGCCACCGTTTTCGGCGCTGCCGCTCTTTCTGCTGTGGAGAAATCGAGCTTTGAAAATCGGTTCGAAGGGGTGTGTGATATCTTGTGTCATTTACGGGATGCGGTGATTTTGCCAAAATGAAAATAGTCAAACACGAAACCAAGCAGTGCACCGACAATATGTTCACAAGGCCTTGCACCGTACCGGCCTTGGCAAATAGTAGAGTCCAACACTAGTCTATAACACGAGACTGATTTGACGGGCCGACTGCCTGACTCGAGAGGCTGACTGACAGGAGCGGGCGTGCTTACAGTCTAAGCAGCTAGCGACGTACAGACCTGGAAGAGCACCTTAGAGCTCCTGGCGCATGACTTTAACGCCGTGCTGACGTATCGGACAGGCATGGCCCAAAACAAGCGCAGACGGTAGCAGTGCCGTCGGGTATGGCAACACAACACGAGCACGCAGATGGCTCTGCGGTCTCTGCTGTGGCCCGTTCCACTCTCATGTTGGGGGCACGCGCCCGACAACATGCCACGGACGGAACCACTTCCCCTATCTGCGGGTCCCCTCATCATGTGTTCTTCTTGCTCCCGAAGGGCCCGTGTCGTCCACGGAGTAAAAACCAGGTGCTGGCTCAAAGCATCACTCATACAATTATTGACGAGACTGCTGCTGTAGTACTGCTGTATAGTGTAGTAAACTTTCTTTTGCGGCGCGGAAAGAAGGACGTACGGCTATCCATTTCTCGCTCTCGCGACAACAACTTCTAGTGGTAGTAATCAACGTGGCTGGCTGTGCTTTGGTCTCAGTAGTTGCCTGAGCCAATCACGGGTCGAAAGGGTCGAAAAAAATGCGTGGTGGGGGTTATATAATTTCTTCAATTACTGCTTGTGAAATGTGCCCCAATAAGGATGCTTGGGTACCAGAGTAGATCGAAAACTCCTGATGTCGCTGATGTCAACTTTGGAGTCCCAGAGCTCCCTCCCCTGTTCTCTTTTCCAATTTGGAGTCCTGTTTTCCGTTTTCGCGTGTTCTCTCCGCCAGTCTGGCCCACACGCTATGTAATGCAGCACGATATCTGAATCTACGTTCTCTGCGAGGGGAACGCATTCACTTTGAACCCGGAGACTGGATCTTGCCGTCGAACCACCCCCCTAAGCACACACATACACACACACACACATACCTTCCGTGGCCGAGCCGTACCCTTACCCTACTGCTGCTAGGTGTTCCGCACCCAAAAAGCAAAAGTTTCTTCGCAGTCGGACAAAGCAGCCAACAAAAGTGACAGGCCGGAGAAAAAGAGGGGTCATCATCCAAACACCACCGCCATTACCAAACGGCGCTACTACTACAGTGAAAAAGAAGCTCTGGTGCCTCCGTCTCCATCCTCGTTCCCGGCCCTCCTAACGCGAACACACGCAACATCGCCGCGGCGTCTACGACGACTACATGGCAGCCCTCGTCGATGCCGCGTATTCCCTGGCGGCAGATGCAAGCATTGGAGAGGGGCGTTAGTACGGAACGCCCCAAGAAGTGGTGAAACGGAGCTCGGATAAACCGCAAGGTTGCGTGGATTGCATGTGAGGGTCTAGGCTGTAGACGCCGGCAGTTCGAGCTCTCCCACCCGGCTCCCAAGGGGGATACACCAACAACGCACGACGAGCGTAGGTGCTGTGCGTATCGGACGGGCCACACTCGGCCAGCAACCAATCACCCGCACGCCCCCGGGGTTGTGGAGTGCTTATTTGGCAAGGTGATGGTACTCCCGTGATACCCGTCCGCCACGTATTCAAAGCGGCACAATAGCGCACCATTTAGGGCGGTGGAGGAAGCAAGAAAATACCAACACACTCCACACAAGTAATAAGACATCCTCCACATCCACTCAAAAACATACGCCAGACTGTACAGTAAACACCTGAACACCAGCAAGCACACACACGTGCCCCGAACCCGTACTCTCACGTTGCACACACGAGTACCCACATCTAGAACCGTGGCCCGATCGCAGGCACACCGCCACCAAGAGCGGCAGCAGCGCCTGCGCCAGAAGATAGATCGGGTAGCTCACCGGAGGCGTTTTCGGCCCCCGGGGCGGGTACAGCCACAGACCGCGGCGCGTGGAGTCCCTCAGCTGGTGCGTAGCCCCGGCCGAGAAAACGCAGACTGCGGCTCGGGCGTTGCGGGTCAAGGCCGCCACCGCAAAAGCCTTAATTGGGTCAAGTATGGTCAAACGAGAGAGAGAGAGACGAGGCACGGCAGAAAACCATTAGCCGAGAGGGCGAAAGAGCCGGGCAAGGGAATACGTAAGGTCAGGAAACAGAAGCGTAACAACGAGAAAACATGAGGAGGGCCGGGGGGGCTGGGGAGCGGAAGAGAGGGCAACCATCGCGAACATGGCGCGTGGAAAGTGGCTTTGCTCGACGGCCGTGATCGGTTGCATGCCGTATGACGGGTCGGAGATCCTACTTCGCCTGTCGCTATCGCCGGATCGCAGAAGCAAACAAAGGACCCAATTTTCCGGCCAAGATATGTATTGGACAAAATGCTGAGAACGAAAGGGGTGCCATAAAAAACGGTGGTATGACACAACCAGGTGTCGATAACCCATCCCTGCAACACGAAGATACGAGTACCAAAACTCTTGATTTATTGTTCAGCCATTTTTCTCACCGCCACGATCAGCGCCGCCACGCAATGACCCCATGGGCGCCCCGCCAAAGCCGTAGCCCTCGACAACCGCACGGAGCCCGCGGCCAAGAAATGATCCAAGTCTAGCGCGCTGCCGACGCAAGCCGCAAACAAAACTTCCAACGCGGCTGCTGCTGACGGTCTCCTCGCCGTACACCCCTCCCCTGCCCCTCTTTTCCCTCTTGGTGCCACTGGTAGTGCCGGTTGGCCTGAAACCGTCGTTGTCGGCGACGACGGCTCGGCGCTTTCGATGTCGAAATCTCTGCTTCTACTGGTGAGATCTTTCGGCATGCTGTCCATCGTGTCTGGGCGTGGCGGCGGCGGCGGCGGCGGCGGTGGTGGCGGCCTGTGCGGTGCGTTGCTCGCATGGTTGCGGCGCCGCCCGCCGGTGGCGAGAAGACGGGCGCAAGAGAAGCATTTGTACAACGGGCTTCCCGGCAGAGCAAGCTCCTGAAAATTGGCTGCTCCTGAGGATGGCGGACTGCCAACGCACCAAGGCAGACCGTGGGCGGGCGGGCGGGTGGGCGGGCAAGAAGAGGGTTGAACGGAGGAGAAGACGGGGGGATTACAAGGTGGCTGTCAACTGCTGTATTCCCCAGACCATAGATCCGCAGATCCCTGCATGGGGGCGGGGGTCCACCACCCAGCAAGTCGCTGCTTGCGTCACCAATCGTTTTTTTTTTTTTTTCTTTTGTTCTTCACTTCAAATCAGCGCTCACAGCACTAGTGCCGTTTATTCCGACCCGTGGTCACACAGAAGAGTCCCTCTCTACCCTCCCCTCCTGCGGTACTTTGCCTATGATTTTTAATGCGAGAAGAGTTCAGCACTCTCTTCCCTCTGTGTACACACGAACTAGCGTTATCCACTCGGCCAGGAGCGGAGGCGAGAGAAAAACTCACTTTGCAAGAAAAGCTCGCCTACGCCGGGATTCGAACCCCTGACCTGACCTCTAGAAGGTTTCGAGGTTACCAACTAGACCACCGGGGCGACCGGTATTACTACCTGGTGAAGGTTGTCAACATGCAACAAGCCCTGCAGCAGCAGTAGCATCTGTAATTGTCAGCTGTACGGCTGTTAAAGACGCGAGCCCAAAATTGTCAAGTTGACGGCCTCCAGACCATACAGTCCTGTCGACACATACAACCAGGCCTTGTGGAGTTACACGAAGACGGTTGTCTAAGTAAGTTAGCGATAGCACCAACGATAGCATTAGCTTCGCTGTGTACATGGTCACCCGGTTCAGCTCCCACAAAACGAGAACAAAAACATCATCGGGGCTCCGCGGAAATCGATGGTGGTACCCCAAGTGATCCCCCAACATTTGTTTCCCTGTGACACCATCTAGTGCACAACTTTGTCCCCGCTGATGCTCCCCACACAGATGGCTAAGTGCATGCTATGTTCTACACGCGCAGACATATGGTTTGTCCTGGTTTCGCTTTAAACCTTACCGCGATGAAAAGTGAAAGAGCTGCTGCTTCAAGCCCGTTTCGGAGCTCTCAGCACCAAACTTGCACGCGGCTACTCAGCTTGACGGAGTCGACGAGCTCGCTCGAGACTTCGCCAGAGTGGCCTACATATGCATAAGTAGCATTGAGGGGGTGGATCGCCGCCATGAGGCCAGTGGAGCACTCTATTGCCCATGTCGAGCAAACAACGCCCCACGTGTCTACCTCCAACTTTGTTTGAATTTCTTCGAAGATACCACCCCCCACTGGAACTTCAGCGCGTTACTCAGGTCGGTAGAGTAGCTCAAACAGGCTTCAATGGTGTCACGTGGAGAGGACACACACCTCAGAGAGGGGTGGCGCAGTTATTGATTGCAATTTGACAGCGTTGTTGAGGAATGACTGCTGGTCCCTACGATGGGAAAAGAGACCGCAGGGGGCTGCGTGCCGTCATAACTTTGCAACAAGCAAAAGAAGAAAACGTTTTTTTGTGGTGGCTGCAACCCGGGTGATGGTGTACTTTACACACCTCAGCGAGACTACAACAGCCCAAGAAGACGCCGCAATCCCGGCGTGAGACAGGTTGTCCACAGCAGCTTTCCATAGGGCATCGTGGGAGTCGAGGAAGCTGGACAACAGAGTGCTGGGCAGGAAATCGCTGCACGGTGAATGACGCGCGTGCCAGCAAGCAAGCAGGGGCAGAGGATTGGATTCAGAGAGTGGGTGGCGGGGCCCGACGAGGCGTCGGTGCTCTGTTGCAAGGCGGTTGATTTGTTGCCTCTGCGAACACCGATTGATATTCTCAATCGCTGCCAGAGGCGGAGCAAGAACCCACAATCGTAGCACAGCAGTTGCAGCCCGCGAAAAGGGGTAGCGTTGTGGAAGAAAGCCAGAGGTCTTACTCACGCCTCAGACGTGGCTCTCATCTCACACCGTATACACAACACACACCTTGAACCTCAGGGTGGCACTGCTGCACTACTGTGTCGAAGAGTGCGGAGTAATGCCATCCTGCGCACTGCTGTGTACACAGCAGTTCACATGGTCTTACCTGCACACACACAGGATCAGCAATACCCCTTCTTGGCCAGCGATCTGCCCCACCAAAGTCTTCATCCTTCGTATGTCCTATCTCAGTTACATCGTCTCGCTTTGCACTCTCGAGTTGCTTGTTGCACAGCTGTGAGTCGTCTCGCGCGAGCGGCGAGACCAGGCGAGGGGGGGGATATAGGGTTTCCAATCCCGGCCCGCGCATGTTTTGGCCGTTGGGCGATTATTCAAGGATTCAAGGATTACAAGCAGGTACTTGTAGGCTTTCGGTCTTGCCTCCCGACAGCAGGAGAAAAGGAGTAGGTAGCAGGGGGGGGAGAGGAAAGGTTAGAGTAGTGTAGAGACCCTGGTGTACATCTGTCCGACGCACAAAGGTCCGGCACTGCATCGCCGAGAGACAGGAGCGGTAAGAGACAGACAGCTTGCATTACCCGCTGAACACGCAGTTGTCCCGGTAGAACCATGGCGAGCTCAGGGAGAGGGAACACCAGCCTAGCCTCGATGCGCAAGAAGCGGCGCACGATCGGTGGCTTCAGGGCTCACGCCATGGGCGACTCGTACGACCACAGCACCACGGCGGACGCCAGCGCCAACAACAGCCTGAGCATGGTCCCCGAGAACCAGCTGAGCTGTCTGGCGGGGGGAGACTCCGGCAGCGAGAACATCGTGGTAGCCGTGCGGGTGCGACCTCTGTCTGCTACCGAGCTCGCCGAGGGCAAGCGGTCGTGCTGCGACGTGCTCACTAGAAATACCCTGGTCATCAGGAAGGGGGCGGATCCCGGCGCCTACCTGCGCAGCCAAAAGGTGTGATGCGCTTTTTTCCTGGCGTCATGTTGTGGAGTATGAACTGCTGTATGCAAGTATGCAAGCACAAGCACCCGGTATATTTCACTGCCGCAGAGATCGTCCTCCAAACTTACAGCAGTATGCATAGCAGTACCAACAGCATCAGGTCCAAGTTACGATTGCACAGCAACAACAGAGGCAGAAAGCACCAACACTGACGGAGAGAGAGGGACGGACATACAGACAGACTGCGTGTACGAGCAGCGCTGAAACCTTGCCCACTGCGTTTAGCCACAACACGCGCTTCAGATCGAAAGCGGATTATCTCCGAACGAAAGGCAGATCCTTCGGTCCTTCCCGTTAGGGCCTCGGGCACAGCTACAGCAGTATTGCTGTAGTACTATATGGACATTAGAAGGTACTGAGCGGAGACCGGAACGGTTTTAATGTGAAGACAACAACAACAACAACAACAACAACGATAACTTCTTACACACTTGGAGCTAACAAGTACTCTGTGTAGCAACGGGCGTCCCGAGAGAGCAACGTTTAGACTGTGGTAATATTATAGTATACGAAGTACAACACTGCTGTGGCCAAACGGTTAAGAATCGTGGTTGTTGTTTACCTTGCCACCTGTCATGAAAATCTTGAGACTGGTTTGGGTGACTGTAGAGGGGTGCTCATCAACATTTAGCGTAAAAATAATGGTCGAACTGCAGCATTTCAACAATCTTCGGGAAATAAACGTTCTTGTTGAAATCCCGTGAGACATGTATTCCCCAACCGCAACACCGCCGTGATGTGAGGTCAGCGTACCGCCGCGGATATGCTATTAACATTGTAGGCTTGCGTGCGCTGGAGACGTGTATGGAAAGCTCTTGTATGGGCCATGTTCATAGCGTAACGTTCCACTTCTTGATATTCATCGCACATGTTCGGGCATCTGTTTTTTCTTCAACGTATGCATACACATGCTCGTTGAACGCATGATGCCACATTGGAGTTGTTTCAGTACGCATACCCGTAGTCTACACCCCATACACCCCCAATGAAAAACATATGCGGGGCTCCTTGGTTCGCGGGAGAATCTGTGTCCTCCACCGAGGCAGTGTCCTTAAAAATGGTGTCCTCTTGACCGAGGTTCGACTGCTGTACCCTTGTTCCGCTGTTGTTGTGTGTGTTGCTGCTGCTGCTGCTGCTGCTGCTTCTTTTTTCGTGTGTGCGTGCCGCTGTGTGGTGGCAGGGCTCGGCCAACGAGTACTCGTTCGATGCCGTCTTCCCGCCGGACGCGGGCCAGTCCGAGGTGTACGAGGGCACGGCCAAGCCGCACATCTCGGAGCTCCTGGAGGGCATCAACGTCACCGTCTTCGCCTACGGCGCGACGGGTAAGAGCACGGCACCGGGACCGCGCACCGTTCCCTGCAGTCTCCGGCTTCCCTCTCGATTTCTCTTGTGCAGGGCTTTGGCGTCAAAAGCGGTACAGTAGGGGGGTCCGGTTTAGCGTTTCGTCGTGACACTAGGGGTCGCTAACCCAGGCCCCCCACTGTATCCGAAGACGATTCATCGAGAGAGAGAGAGAGAGAGAGAGAGGGAGAGAGAAAGCGAGCGCGAGAGAGTTGTTATGTCTGTGTTCCCCCCTCGTTTACAAGGGAGATGGTTAGCCATCTAAACATGGGCGGCTTTTTCGAAACACTGCGGGACCTACAGGTCTGCCCGCACCCTCAACAACGCTTCTTTACTTCCCCTGCTGGGGATTCCTCGTGTGCCCTCTTGATCATCGTGTCAATACCGCAAGGGGCCGGGAAAACGCACACCATGATGGGGTCGGAGAGGGTGGTCGGGGTTCGCGCCGGCGACGAGCCGACGGAAGTTTCCGGAATCGTTCCTCAGTCTCTCGTCGAGCTCTTCCGCCTGTTGACCGCGCGCGCGAATATTGGGAGCGGGCAGGAGGACGAGGCGGAGACATGGAGCGTCCGCGTTGGGTACTTGCAGGTGGGTGTGGGTGTGGTGGATGTACATACGCCGCAGCAGCACCGGTGCATGCAAAGAAGAGCAGAGGTTTAGAGTACGTGCTGCTCTCGTCTTCTTTTTTTTCGTTGTGTGTGGGTTATGTTTTTGTAGACTACGGCTGCCGACATTTCCTTCGGATTTATGCGGGTGGTGGACCAAATTCGCGCCGAAAATCAGTACCACTTCCAGACACATTTCATGGAAATATGCAAAATACTGGTCCTACAAGAGTGGGATGTTAGATGAGGCTGCAGTGTAACTAGTAGTGTTTCAGGTGCGAGCGAACGTCGGATTCGCGTGCAATCGTTTCCTGTCGTCACTGAATGCGTGGCATCAAGTGCATCGCCTGCCAGGTTAACAACGAGTAGATCTTGAAAATTGTTCCTTTCGTCGGTAAATGGCTGCTGGTGCTGTTGCTGCTTCTGAACGCGTTTGCTTCTGATTTTCGCCTTCTCAGGTTTACAACGAGCAAATCATGGACTTGCTGAGCGATTCGTCCAAGCCTCTCAAAATCAACGAGGACCCCGCCAAGGGCGTCGTGGTGGTCGCAGGGCTCGCGGAGATGGTACGTTGGGTGTGTTTCAGTTTTTTTCCTATGTCGCCGAGGTAGTAACTTGCGCTTTATTCAAAGGGCATTAAATAGGGGTGCAGCAATTGGCCGTTGGTTGGTTGATTTTCGGCTTTGATTCAACAGTCCGGCGAGGCCCTGCGGCGTAAGACGTGAGCCTGGCATCTGTAACAAGGTTGAGGTTTGCTAGGGTGTGTTTCGGTCTCCTTTCAAGGAAGAGGACACGTGTAGCAGCCGCAGCAGCAGCAGTACCCTGAGCGCGTGCAATTGCCTGCCTTTTTAAAGGCACGGTCCACCGGACAGCAGCATGCTCTGCTGTTGTCTTGGATTTGATTATTGTCTTTGCGGGGGTGTAGCGACACCTATCCTCGTCGTACCGTCTTGCTAACGCTTGCATTTCTTGCGAAACAGTTAGGTTTATCTGGAAGGCAAGCGTTAGAAAGACGATGCTACGGAATAGGCAACGCTTCGCCTCCAGAAAAGCGTGATCAACCGCAAGACAACACATGCCCTCCCCCCACGCAGAGAGAACTGTTAAAGGTCCTCTCCCAGCACACGGCCGATTTCGACCCCCCAAATCAGGTTGCGCCTTGGCGTGTTCTACTTGTGGCGCCTTCAACACGACAACGCCGCACGTGATAACCCCTGAAACTCGCGAGCTATTGTAGTCCGGAACAGACCTGGCCTATCGTCTGATTTCACAACAATACCGGCTGTAAATCTTGGCCGTCCCATCAACAATAATACAACATCGTTGAGCCCCCGGTCTCAACAGGTCGCCGAGCGCAAACTAGGCCACCGGTCCGTCACATGATGCCACCGACCCCTCTCTCCAAAAACACTCCCTTCCCATTGCATTTGGGCTGCCGCAGGAGGTGACCTCCAGCGAAGAGGTCCTGGACCTGCTGAGGCAGGGCAACGCGAACAGGAGGACAGAGGCTACGGGGGCGAACCAGGTGTCGTCGAGGTCCCACGCCGTCCTGCAGGTAGTGGTGACGAGGACTCTCGAGAACGCCGTGTCCGGGAACCGGTCGGTGCGGGAGTCCAAGCTCTCCCTCATCGATCTGGCCGGGTGAGCTAGTGGGTACGACAGAGTGCTGCTGTCTGTACCCTTCCGTACGAGGGGCCTTGACTCATTATTTTTTTCGTTGACGTCCACTGAACCACGTGAGCACGGGCGTCGGCAGACGTGTCCGTCCAAGGACGTATCTTTCCGCTATTAGTTTATGGCGTGCCTTGTATTAACTCCCTCCCGGCGCACGTGTAAATGCGGTCATTCTGAGGTGTCTTGGGTTTTTGCGTGTTGTTGTTGTGGGGTGCGGGAGTTGTCCGAGGTCCTATTGTTCCTTCCCTTGCCAACCTCACCGGGTGAGTGCGGTCGTCTTGTGGCTGTGTTGGCTTAACCCCTCAAGAGGGCGTGGCCGGGTAGGGCATAGGGTGGATGGGCCCAAGAATGTTAGCTTTTGGTTGTTGGCCTTCATGCTATGATCGTCTTTAGTATATTCTAGTGTATGCATATGTTGATCTTGTTGTTTTCGGCTACTCTCTTAGGGATCCCGCTGGGCGAGCGTTTAGAGTGGCACGAAATGTTATCGCCGTTTGCCATCGGAGATGGTTGATTGGTTACTTAGACTAGATCTGTTGCTGCCGTCGGACTTGCCGAAGCTGAGGCATAAATGGCGTTGATGTCTTGTTCTAGCAACAAAAGTCTAGATACAGTAGGTTTGGAGGCGTTTATGTCTTTTGTCAGGAAATAAAAAAGGATGATAACATTTGCCTTGTAATGTGGTACGGACACCCTCAATTTTTTACCATTTTGCCATCCAGATCGGAACGGGCTTCCGCCACGAACAACCGGGGGGAACAGCTGCGGCAGGGCGCCAACATCAACAAGTCACTGCTGTCCTTGGCCAACTGCATCAACGCCCTGGCGGGCAACCGCCGCCGCCGTGGAGGAAAGGTAGGCTGGTATTCCGTATCATCATACCATGTGGAAGAAACCACAAAATGTGGGTGCGCTGAGACCGTACGCTACATTGGTGAACAGAGCGGATAGCGTAGGATCAGCGCTCCTGCGCCTGCGTGGGAGGCTAGTTGCTTCCAGTGGTTCTAAGCATGCTCTATTCGTCTTCTGTGTATTGATTGGAGTAGTGTTATCGTAGCGTGCATGCCTATGCATGAACGCTTGACCTCGATGTACTGTATGCCTCGGGCACGATGTTGGCGTGGTATGCATCTCCATGTGCTCTTCGGAAAGAGCATTCCCTTCCGAAGCTGTTCCTGTTGTTGGCGACATGATAGAGCTCCCGAACCGCCCCGGCACAAAATTTCTGCCTTTTGTTTCGCGCCGGTTGCATCCTCTTGCGTCGTCGGCATTGACCGGTACGGGCGTATACCGTCGGGTGCTTGTACTGTCTGCAGGGTCCCGGAAACGTGAAGTACCGCGACAGCAAGCTGACCCACCTCCTCAAGGCCTCCCTCGAGGGCCGGTGCCGCCTGGTGATGATCGCCAACGTTAACCCGTCGCACGTGTTCTTCGACGACTCCCACAACACGCTCAAGTACGCCAACAGGGCCAAGAACATCAAGGTGCGGCAGCGGCAGGTTGTAGAAAGCGGGATGCCAAGGGAGAGGGGGTAAGAGAAAAATAGCTGGGGTGAGCCGCCGAGGTGTTGGCTATGCTCGAGAGTGATATTTTCTGTGACGGCCTTGACTCTCTGTTCGGCTGCGCTGCTGCTGTCGGAGCTTCTGCGAGTCCGATCACAACGCCCTGGCCGATCTCATCCCGATGCTATGAACCACGTTCTTACGGACAACACAAATGCAGCGCATCGTGATTGGAACATGCTGGTCGGGGGAATGAAGTTCTGGTTCACACAACAAAGAAATTAGATCGTTCTTGAACGGCTCTTCTCGAAATTCAAGTTCTGAAACGAGATACACACAGATGGTGCCTTTTCTTTTTTTTTCAACAAGGCGTTTTTCTCGACCTGTGTCTTGAGCCGTTCTCCTGATAAGCTCCTGACGAGGTTTCCTCTCTGGTGCTCCCGCGAATCTGCTTCTTCCCCTTGGTATTGTGTCGAAGGTCGACCCAAGGACGACGGAGTCGGTGCGTGAAGCGTCGAGGCTCCTGACGGACAAAGAGGCGAAGATGGCCAAAGACTACCAGGCACTCAAGGAGCGCAACCAGTTGATGGAGGCCCAGCTGGAGTCGATGAGGTAAGCAAGCGAACGCACGCGCTCCGCCTACCCTTACTGCGGCGGCGTGTCCATGCATCGACTGATCGTCGCAGAGGTGTTCTCTCTGTGTGTGTCTCTCTATCTCGGTCATGCTGGTTGGCGGTGGGACACCATACATAGGTCGCGCGCTACGCTGCATCGTGTGCATATCTTTCTACATGCAGACGTGAATGAGCGCACAGCCAGTAAATAGGTCTGTGACCTTTCATGTTAAGGCGCGGTTATGCTGCAGCAGTAGTGGTGTGTCCGGTAGTCTTGTGTTCAAGTCTCACACCAAGAGACCCGCCATCCCATACATGGGGAAACACTGCCGTACATTTTTCGTGCCATGAAAATAACCACCCCGCCTCCCCCCGAACAACAATGCCGATTAACCAGGAACGCCCGGGGGTACATCGCTCCCGAACCGGCCGGCTTCACGGACCTCTTCGCGCCCAACACGTCCTCCATCATGTCCGTTGCGAGCAGCACCCCCGGCTACACGGAACGGTACGGCGGCGGTAACGGTGCCCCCCAGCAGCAGCAGCAGCAGCAGCAGCAACTGACTGCACCGGCCCCTGCGGCCGCCGCCGCCGCCGCCGCAGGGGGGTCTGCAAAACCCACTGGTGGCGGCGGGAGTGGGGACACGGGGAGGACGCGCCGGAGCGTCGGGAGAGGCGGGGAGGGGGCGGCGGGCGGCAGCGGCGGCGGAGGGCAGGATGGCAACGGCATGCTACCGCCCCCCGTCCCGCGCGGCGGCAGGGGCGGCGACCGGAGGATGAGCGAGGAAGGGCTGGCCTCCACTGATGAGGAAGGGGGGATGGTGATGGTGGGCAGCCCGGCGGGGGTTAGGCTTGGGAGGGGCTCGTTGTCATCGTCCTCGTTTTCGCCGTCTTCGTCGTCCTCGCCCGGCACGAAGAGGAAGAGGGCGGCCGCGGAGGGCGGCGGCGGGGAGGAAGAAGAGGCGCTGAAGGCGGCCGCGGCGGCGGCCGCGGCGGCGGCGGAGAGGGAGATCCGGGAGCTCCGGACGGAGCTGGCTGCCGAGAAGACTCGGCGAGTGTGAAGGCGGGATTCCGGCGGGGGCCGCGTTGTTGTATTCCTTTTGGGCAATGGAGGGGTGTTTTGCGGTGTAGTATACGATGGGAAGGCGGGGGGGGGGGGGTGGGGGGGCTTATCGGTGGTGGAACGGTCAAGTTTGTGGAGGCTGTTGTAGGCGCAGCAAGTTGATCTTCTTTCCAACAGCCTGTTTTCCAACGCGGGGTGCTACTATTCGGTGTTTTTTGTGCAGGGTCTGTGAGCTGGAGGGCAAGGTGCGAGAGCTGGAGAGCTCGATGGCGAGGATGGGCGCGCAGCACGACGTGAACATGGAGCTTATCGCCACATTCCGACACCAGAAGGAAACCGTGAGTGCCTCCCCGATTGCCGGATAGTAGCAAGGTTGTTACCCCTTCCCCACGACGGCTCACGCAGATTGCCGGATTTCCTACGGTACAGGCGTTCTGTCCAAAGATGGTTGTCCACTTAGTTCGCTCCAGTCAGGACAAGCGTTTTGAATGCATCTACGTGGTTGCACATCCACCCCCTTTTTAGCATTCGCGCTATCATGTCACCACCTATTGATGGTGATATTGTGCTGCCGCTGCGTTGCTCTCCTGCTCTTTTTCATATACGCCAGCGGTGGTTCATGTGTCGCGGGTGTCGATTAGGGTTTGTGGTTTAAATATATCCCATGTCTACCCTTGAAACTCTACAACCCTAACCCTTCACACCGACGGCGCTTACAAACCGCCTTGTCATCGTTGAATCAAGTCAAAGTTCTGTCAATGTCGCCAAAGATCAATGTGTGTTGGGTAGGCAAGAATTCAGCGGCTCCCACCGCTAGAATCGAACCAACATACGTGGTCAATTATTTTTCGATTCTACGGGAAAGGAATATTGTGATTAAAGATATACAACGTTTGAACGTTTGAACTAAACACATGGTGCGGCAGGCGGAGGAAGCCGCGGAGTGCGAGCGGACCACAGCGGATGAGCTTCTCGCCTTGCTCAAGGAAAAAGAAGCGGAGGTTTCGCAGCTAAGGTGCGCCGTAACCTAAGGATAAACCTACCATATGGCTTGGGGCTGTGTGGTTGACATATTTTAGTTCGGTTGTCAATCGTGCATCGTAGGGAGGGCACGGGAGGGTCGGGGGAAGCGGTTGATTTGTTCATAGGTTTTAGCGGTGGTAGGGCGCAATCTCATGTGGTACATTACGGTGGGAGAAGCAGGTCTTGACTTGAAACGCTCATGTCAGTCACCTGATGCTGCTCACGGTGTCGTTTTTTGCTCGTGATGGAATGCAAGGCCGAGGAGTGTGCTAACACGTCAGTCGATGCATATAGTCGATGATTTGGAGAAGTCATAGGCGACCAGCTGTTTTTTTTCTTTGCTGGTATGTCCGAGAGCAACTCCAGCAACAACTCTTGGTGCAACGCCATGTTCGCTACCTTTGGTAACTCCAGCCGTGGCGCCTCTGTCCACTACTCACCTTGTACACAAGAGCATCGGGAAAACTCTTGTCGCTATTGAGGGCATTTTTCATGACTCTCGTGTTGAATTGCTGTCGTGGCGTACTACACTTTGGTACATACACATACTGTACCCTTCGTTCCTGGTTCGCTTTAAATTCGGAGGCCAATCAACACTGCTGCTCTGTCGCCGCCAGGTCGGAGTTGGACGGGGTCGGCTCCCGGTCGGTGGGCGCGGGTGCGGCGGGGAGCAGCGTAGGGGACGATGCTACCAGGACGGCCGCAGACGACGGCGATAATAGCGCTTGCGCAAGCGGCGGAGGGCAGGGCGCCGCGACGAGCGGTTTCGGTGGCGGTTCGAGCGGTTTCCGATCCGGGCTGATGATGGAAGGGGACAGCAGTGCCTTCGGCGGTACTCTGGGGCAGATCGAGGAGAACGCGGGCGGCGGGGCGGAGGACATGGAGCTCGAGAACGCCGTCGCTGGCAGCGCCGGTGGTGGTGTTGTTCGACAACAACAGCATGTGCGTCGTCGTGCATGTATGCCTGCGGTAGGGTCGTGTGGTTTGGCTATCGCGCGGTGGGAGCGGCGGTTGGGGTGCTGCAGCAGCGGCGGCGGCGGCAGATGATGTTTTCGTCGTCTTGTACTTGTGAATGAGCCTCTGTAGGCAAAGGGTGAGACTGATTCCTCCCGAACACACCCCGTTTTCGGCATTGTTGGCGGGCAGCCTGGAGCATTCGATCGAGCTCCAAAATAAATCGATCGTGCACTTGCTCGTTCGTCCGGCCTCGCGTTGACGGTATTCCCGTTCGCTCTCGTCTAGTTCGCAGAAGAACTCATGCGCCGGTCAGTAAACACACCACTGACGTCTGTTGTTGTCTGTGTCGGTCGGTCGTCCTACCCTTACGTGCACGTTAGACGACCGGGCTGTCCGACAGAGGCTCGCGTGACTCCATCAGTAGCGGCACCAGCACCACCTTGGGAGGAGCGAGCACGGCGGCGGCCTCGGCGGAGGTGGCCTCCGTCATCAAGTCCAACCGCAGAAAGAGCAGGTGTGTGGTGTGTTCGTGAGCCGTAACATGGTGTATGATGTGGTGTCTCTGTCGAAATGACTACTTTATCATCCGACCGCGTGGCTGGTCAATGGGATGGCTATGGTCTTGAAGTAGCATTACGGAAAACAATACCCGGCTAGTCACTTTTTTACGACGGGGTTCCCCCCCGAAAAAGAAGGCTACAGAGGAACCGTCTGTGATTACAGGGTGCACACCAAAGCAACGTGATTCTTGAGGCAGTATCGACCGCCCTACAGTAGCTGGCTCTTGAGCGTGCTCGGGCGTGTGTGTGTGTCATGAGGTCGACCAGGAGTGTAGATGCAACCCTCCAACGTCCAATCTTGCTCTTACAGCATACAGGGTCTGTCGGGGGTGAACGTACTCGGCTGCTAAGTTTCATTAGTCGTGTGTCCTCGCGTGCTAACTGTCGTGCTTCGTGCGTTCGCGTCGAATTTTGACAGCATGATATCGCGGTCGAGGAAGTCGATGATCCCGGCTCCTCGGTCATCGGGCAGGAGCGCCAGCTCCAGACTGTGAGTTATGAGTTACCGCATGTATGAGACGAGCGCCACTCTGATGGAAAACAAATCGCGTGCTTGTCGGTGGAGAGATGGACACGGACACACACGGGCGTATCATCCATGTGTCATGTGTTATGTGTGTGTGTTCTGCATGTCGACGAGGATCAGCGCGTCACACAATTGTTGCTATTTACTGTTGTGTTGTTGTTGTTGTTGTTGCTAGGTACAGCTATTGGTCCCATTTACCACGAGTGCTCGTTGTTTCCTTCTTGCACATAGAAACGGTGCAGATATTCAATGGTAATGCACTCAGAACCAAATGTCGCTGTGCATGAGGAGCCACCCCGCAGCCGCGTAGACACCAGATGACCACGAATAATAGAAGTATTTGCCTCGTTCTGTAGGGGCAGTTCGTGGTCGTGGTCTGCTTGTCGTACCTCGATCGCCGAAAATAAGCCGCTGGGCCAAACAGATGCTGCTATCGTGCCAACGCATGAGAGCGTTGGGTGCCCGAAAAGGACGATATGAGAATGTCTGTCGTGGTGCCCCCGTGCTTATTTTTGGTGGCCGTTGGTCGATGTCTACCGCTGCCCTGAACTTTGCCGTTCTCACCGTGCGCATGTGCCCGACCCAGACGACCCTACCTCGCGGCGTCATGACACTCCCGAAGGCTTTTATTCTCTATCGACGCTCATAACCTTCCTGCCCGTCCCCTCCCAAACCCGCGCACGCACTTTTTTTTTGGCGCGATTTCGTTCCTAATTTCTATCGGCACCAGGTTGGGCGACGTCACCAATTCTAGCAGCACGAGGCTCAACGATCACCTTGGTGGTGGCGGCAGCAGTAGCAGCGGCTGCTGTAACACCCCCTGCGACGCCAACAAGAAGGGGGCCGTAAAGCGCGCAGCCTCCGTGCACAGCGGCGGTGGCGATGGTTCTCACGAGATGGCCGCAGTCGACTTCGCTACTACGGGGGACGGGGCGGCGGGAAGGAGCAAGGCGAGCTCGCGGCGAGCGTCCTCGAGGACCGGGCAGACCCCGCAGCGGCAGACGGTGGCCGGGCGCACTCGATCGAGGGTGTCGATGGCACCGGCAACGTTGCGCAGCGTCCGGTAAAACGGTCGAAGTCTTTCTTCGCCGACGCCGAACGCGTCTTTTTCTCTGTAGCTCACGGCAGTATTTGGCAGCAGTGCCAACGGGAGGGATTTGTGGTCGGAATATATTTTGTGTCTTTGGAGTTCGGGTCGAAAGGGAGATCCGTTATGGTGACCGGGCGCGCGCGTGTGTGGTGTCCTCGTCGGGGATCGTCGATACGTGGGTGCAGACGTGTTTCATCCGAACGTTCCCCGCTGCCTTTCGCGACGTCCACTGGTGGGTGTGCTTAAACGCGTAAGTATATCATCGGTCTTAGCTCCGAGGTGTAGATGCCTGATGCGCGGATTTTTGGGTCGATTTAGTTATCCACACTCTTTTTTTTTTTTTTCAGAATCCCGGTCGTTAGGCCGCGCGGGGTTACGTTACACCGTGCCCGGTTTTCCGGCCGGCGCGGAGATAGGCATTGCTTGACGCGAAGTAGGGGTCGGCGGAATGTTTGGTCAACCAGCATGGGGGGCGGAACGTTTGAGGCGGGAGGTATAAGCCGGTGCCAACACACGTATTATTATGCGATTGGTTTTATTTCATCAAGTTTTTTGGAGAATATGCCTGTCACGGCATTCACTCATCAGGGAAGGGAGGGGTGTTCATATCCCCGGGGCGGCGGTGGCGCCGTGGGGGAGGAGTGCGTACGGGGAGGGAAGCTCTAGGCGGTACGGGGGGCGGGTGACGGCTGACGAAGTCGTTGCGTATTTTCTGTGGTTTTCGTTGTTTGCTTCGGAACAAGTTGATGGGGGGAGGGAGTGTTTTTCGTCCTCGGAAGGGTACTGACGTGCCTCTCAGGCTTGGCGCCTGAGAGTAGTGGGTGCTTGAGGATGGGTCAGTTTCGACTGATAACTCAGCTAATACCTCGGCGGAGGACGGTTCCTCACTTACTTAGGGTGCGGCCGGCGTGCGTATCAGGTGGAACGAGGTGTTTCTATTGCATGTTCTCTTGAGCAGGTGTTAACCCAACCGCTTATGGTGGTGATGGTGCTTCTGATGCTGTGTCGCAGCGTAGACAATATTAATAATCAGGCCGCCGATGTTTCGATGCCCTCATCACGTCTGATTATCATGCTTGCGACAACGCGTGTACTGACTCATGTGGGGTAAGGGTAGATTATCGCTAGGGTTTACAAGAACGGTTGATTTAAGCACCTCAGGCTCTTTCCAAGGCCACTCCTTTTTGTTTCTGTAGTGTATAATGGCATTGTGATTGCCAAACAACAAAGCTTGTCTGTCCAAGCCGATGAAGAAGGTAGATGGCACCCGTGCTGGTGGTCGTGAGCACATGACCCAACCTCAGAACACGTGCACCCAAGAACGCAGAAACACAAGACAAACCAACAAAGGAACACACACAACGACACGGTTAGCGCGGTCGACTGCTATTTCAAACGACACACACCACCCGCATTGGGCATCCTCTCTACCACCGGCGTTGTCTAGCGCCCGCTTGGCGACCGTAAGCCAATCATTAGAGAAACAAAAACGTAGGAAGGAGCCAGTGCTACTACTAACGACCAGCCAAGTTTTCGCAACGATCAGCCAAGCGGCGGTGTCTCTCCTCTCTCACCTGCCTCAAGATGACCCGCTGCCGGTCCTCCTCGCAGGGCATCATGTGGATCACGCGGCAGTTCCGCCTCTTCATCCCCTGCTCGAACTTGAGCTCTATCGCCCGGACGAGGAAGGGTACCTGATGATGATGATGATGATGATATCGATTCCGTCCCCCCCCCTCCCGACAAGTTAGCTAGTTTAGGCGTGCATTGCAATTTTCGTTGGCGGCACCTTGTTATATCTACCGCGAGTGTTGGTGTACGTGATGTTGATTTTTGTTACATAGCAAGTCAGGTGGTGATTTGGCCCCCGCGCCCCTCCCTCACGCGTGTCTTGGGCGAACAAGTTGCATGACTGAGTACTTCCTCCCGTTGTATTTAACACGTGTCATGGGCCAGAGAGAAGGAGAAGAAGCAGGCACCGAGCGACCGACCGTGCCAACGACGATCCGTCTAAAGGCTACACCATTCATTGTTTGGAGGGGGTACTCGTGGGCGGGTACGGGCGACGCCTTCGAAAGGTACAGGATATCTCGACGACTAAACACTACCGGAGATATGTAGTACCCTAAAAACGTGTGTTGTTTCAGATATAGACTACTTGCCTGGTGGAACGGTCGGGTATATGTGTCATTCATTGCTCCCAGTGTTGCGGCCACCATTGACACATTATTCGCGCCATTAAATGTTTCCCGGCGGAATGCTTCTCAGTCACGCGTGGCGCATTAGGGTCCCCCGTTTGAGACGATGCGCGGTTCGACCAGAGTGGATGGAAGTTTGATCTGGTGAGTCGCACTTGTGAACGTCTAAGGTGCGGTGTGGACTTCTACTGCGTATTTCATGTTTTGCAAGGAGTGGTGCTTTCTGGCAAGTAAGGTACACTGCCATTCCTCCTGTGTGTGGCGTTTTTTTATCCAAAGCAACCCTTGAGCAGTGTTCGCCGTCTGCATGATGTGCGGTCGAGAAGATGAACATTTTTTCGGCGGGTGGCCTGAACTATAATCACCGAAGTTTGTTCTGCACCATCGTTCCTCTGCTTGCCAGTCAAAGTCATCGCCCAACACGCCCATGATGCTATCATCTACAGTCTGTCATGCTACATACTGTACGGGTCCAACGATGGCAGCACTAAACCCCCAAAAGGCAGAACATTATCTCCCACTACAGTGCGAGCTCGACTTGTTTGGTGCCGATCTCCATACTACAAAGAGAGCTGATGATGTTGTTTATTAATGCCAAACATCGTGTTCTTTTGCACGAGAGGCATACATACAACATGTGGTTGTTGGGACAACATATGCAAGGGGAAATCAACGCAGAGAGCCAAAACGCAAGATCCAGTCATCACTCGAGTATGAGAACACAGACAGCCATGCTTAACAGAAGCAAATGACGCAGCTTTCATGAAATGTTCGCGGCACCACCTCCAACGCGACTTACCAAACAAGTATCGAAATGCGTGGAGCTTGGCCGAATGCCGACCGTGCCCCCCACACGTGTTCGCTCGGCCAGCACCAGAATAATTATACCTTCCCACAACCATGACCTACCTGCACATGAGATCTACCCTGTTTGGGGGCACTCGTCAGAGTAGCACAGATCTACGGGCCTCCTACACTGTTCGTGGATGTTACATGGGTATGGTGGAAGTGGTGCGAGAGGTTCTTCTTGCCTCGCCCGTGTCTTCCAGTCGTTAAACTGTTTAACGAGGGGGAGACACGGGCGAGACATAAACCACCTCTTGCATCATGCCCATCATGTCCACTTAACATACACAAATCGCCAGAGGAAATACGGCCACTCCTACATCAAAGACAACGCGCAAAACACGAACGAACAAACACGCAAACAAACACACAAACACTACAGCGACACACAGACGGCCGCGGACGGCCGCGAGGTTATCGCCTCCACCCTTGACCCCGAGTCGGCGGCGACGCCGGCTCCGCCGGGGGGGCTCGAGGGGAGGAGCATGACGGGGGGGGGGCGTTGTACCGCACGAGGTCACGTGGGTCGAGCTGCCGGTAAACGAGAACGTACGCCTCCTCCTTGGCGACGTTTACGCTCTCCATGCGACGGACACGGCTGTCGTCATACACGACCCATTCTGACCCCTTTGTCGCGGTGGCCCGAACCAATGCCCGGTAGTGGCCGCTTGTCGAGGAGGTCCCCGTGTGGCATTGGATGGCCACTGCCAGGAAGGGCACGTCGGGGTGACCGGGCATAAACAACAAGTTGTCTACCGGGAAGGGCACGAGTCCTCGCTTCTTCTCCTGGACGCTGCAGAATGCGACATCAGTGGGGGCGGGACGAGAGCGGAAGCAACGGGTACATGGAGGTGATAGCATGGGGCAGGTGTTGTACTGTTAGAGAGCGCTTCGATCGATGTAGGACGTACAACGCGATCGGTCATCAAGCCGCCTTCTTATGACCGGGGCGATTTGGAGGCGGAGAATGCTCGAGCGACTTGAACCTTGGTAGTTTTTAATGGAAGTCGTAGCTGCTAGCGGCGGGGTGCTGCTACATTACAGCATTTGATTGCGAGACATGAAAGAACGTGATGTCGCATAGCTCTTGTCCGTTTCGTTAAGTGCTTCACTGAAGGAGGCAATTGCAAATCGCGCGCACACAGCAACACCTAACACCTACGCACCCCCGGTCGTTGTAGCTGTGGCGAGTTAGGCTGATCACGGCCGTCTGAGGGAGAGTCCTCAGGCTGCACCACAGGTTTGACTGGTGGGTCGATATATATTCAAGGAATGGCGGCGGGCGTTTTCAGGGGGGGGGCGCAGTTGAGTACGAGGTTGAACGTATCCTCTCGAGAGGGGTGTACTTGGACAAGTGATAGGCGGTGGCGGCCGAAGGGGGTTGGTTTCACCGCCGTTCATGTTGCTCCTCGCGTTGTCAGAGAGGGGTGGCGCCCCACGCGAGTGAGCACGAGGGAGAGTAGGCGAGGAAGTTAGGGGAAGCAGCATAATAAAAAAAGGGGGAGACAAAAATCTCCCCACTAAACAGCATTATTATACGCTTTGTTTTCCTCACCGTTTCGCTGGCTTCGCAGGGGCACCTGTACTCCACTTCGCTTTGAACGCCACCGCCGATTTCCTGGTAAACCGGCAACAACACGGGCAGCAGAACGACACAGCAGGGCGATGTGGTCGGCACACCAACCGGATCAATATGAAGTTTGCAACAACCAGCATTGCACATCCAACGAGGGGCGATCATATACGATGACGAGAGGACGATACATACTGTACGTATCACCGGACTTCTTTTCGATCATTTCCGGTGCGTAGATTCCCACCCACATTGGTCAGCAAAGTTGTCAAGTCGTGCCACGTGTTGGTGGTGACGTTCTTGTCCATGGGTAGGGTCACCATACCCGTCTCGACAGCAGGAGTCACCCGGTCCTGATCA